GCAGACACAATCAATAAATCTGTCAAAAATAACTCAACCATACCACTGACAGATTAATATAGATATTAATATCCTCATATATATATAGATGTATATATGCACACACACATATATGTTATTCTGAGAACAGTGGACATCCTCTAAATTAAGACTATTACCCTGCTAAAAAGCAAATATGTGTAAAAATGACGAGACACATTCTGAAAGCGACAATAAATAAATACTATAACAGAAATAATTCCTACAAGCCACATGCAGCACAGCTGAAGTTAATGATAATTTTGACAGGAGTTCAATAGGTTCAGAAATTCACCCTACTGCTTCTGATTTTTTCCCAGCTGAAAAATCTTTCAAAAATACATATTCACTCAGTTAGTGTCTTTAGAATTATATCTCTTTTGCAATATTAAATCATCACTGCATTCTTGAATACCATAAAATTTTAAATGAGTCAGTTTTAAAGATTCCAGAAGTATTTGTAACACTGCTGTGTGATAATTATTCTTATTATGCTGTGTATAATCACCACACAAAACCTTAAACTTCATGTTAACAGCTAAAGAAAACAACTTTTAGACAAAAATTCTGGGACAAACTTTCAACTGGTGTAAATCAGTACACATCTGTAACTTTGATGGAATTAAGATGATCTGCATTACATTTTATGTATTCCTTCTGCATGTCAGATTTCCCTAGCAAAACCAGTTGCAGGGTTTATTGGCCATAGTCAAATTTAAATTGTTACAGTCTGTAAAATGCCTAAGCTCCTTTCACAGCAAGAAGAAAAAAGAAAGTATTCCTTCTTCCCCATATCTAATAGAGATGCATAGTGGGGGTTGATGTTTTGGGGTGGGATTTTTTGTTTGGGGTTTTTGTTGTTGGTTTTGGTTTTTAAGCAGTCAGTATAGTTAGCACTAAATTTTGTTTTTTCAGAGACACAATAGACTACATTCTTTGGCACTTCACTCACTCAAACACAAATTAGTATTTTTAAGTAGCTGATGTAACAGCCTTGTGACTCCTACTTACTTACAAAGAACTGCAAAAGAAATTATGCCCTTGTCCCTTAATGTGATCAGGTTTTGAAAAGGTGCTTTTCATGAGTTCATATTTTTAGAATGAAAGCAACACCTGATTTTCAACAGCAGAGAGGAATTCTTCCAGGGTTACTTCTCAACATAACTGAATAACGGAGTATTTGGGTGGTTGGTGGCCTTTGTGTAATCAACACATGTTCTTGTCACTTTGTGCTTCAGAGGAAATTAGAAGACATTTCCCTTCCATACCTATCTCCAGCCAATTTCCTTATCCTTCTCTCTTTTACACATGAGCACTTTTAAGTAGCGTAAATTACACTTCCCCCCCCTTCATTTTAGGTTTCCTTCCCCAGCCCCCCTACCCTTTTGATACTTTGCCTTCTCATCAGAGAATAAGCAGGAAATTATCCAGTGGCATTTTATATTCGTTTTTTCATTAGTCACTACTAGTTAATTTATGTATTTATGCAAATTTATGTCTAAAGCAATTGTTCTTTAATCTGTTCACGTGTACCTGCAAAACTTAGGTTTCCAATAGCAAATTAAATAAAACTCTTTCAGTGACCACTTGCCATATTTGCAGGCAAAGTCCGGTTGTGTGAACATACTTAGATGAATGCACATGAACGCACACCCATACAGAAAACCACCATTCTAATTATAGAACATTATCCAAAAATAAACATGAAGCATTCCTACAAAAAAACAAAGTTACAGTGATACAAAGTCTGTGCTGGTTTACACCTGCGATGGAGGTGGTCCGGTCCAACTTGCATCCACAAACAATACACATCAGACCTGTCCATCCACAACCAGTACATAAAAAAGGGATGTCCTTTGCTTGCAAAGTCAAGTTTAAAGGGTGATGCTGCTGCTGATAGCAATTCATCCTATGGCAAAGCTCCACCACAGTCGGTGAAAAACAAAAAGTCTTGACTTTTAACTTTTTTTTTTTTTTCTAAAAAAATGCCTTTTTACCTTGAGTATGCTGCATTACAGCAAAGACGAGGGGAGTTAGAAGTGTCTGAGCACAGCACAGACTAATCACCATGTCATTCAAAAAGGGACCTAAACCTTTAAATGCCTTTTTGCATGCCGTCGTCATTAAAACGCACCGCCTGCTTTCCGATACCAAGCGAAACAAAGGAAAACCGGGAGTACCAGAACCCACCGTACTCGGGTCTGCGGGAGAACAGCAACCGCTGCAACAACAGTGGCGGCAGCAGCAACGGCGAGGGAAAAAACCCTCATTTATAACCAGTGACAACTAAAACCTATGAAGTTTTTAAAAGAATGTGATTGTTGTCAAAAGGAATTGGGTACAACAATGCTGCGTTCAGCTCTGGTTCCACTCAAAGCTGTGGCTGAGGGGCTCTGGGAAAGCTGCTGGAAGGCTGGTGGGCACAGACCAGCAAGAAAGTGAATTTTGCATACTGTACGGATCATCGCTCAGTTCAGGGCAGTCATATTGAATCTGTGATCAACCAATTGTGCTTCATGAAACCGTCAGCCCTCATTTATGTCTAGCTGTTTTCTTCTGTCCTGCTGTAAACAAGCTCTGCTCTGAGCTGTCTCCCTACCCTCATCTGCTTACGAAGATCACAGACAGACCTCATCAGCAGCCTTAGAGTTAAAGTTAAAGTTACTGCTTCCAGACAGCAGTCCCCATGCAAGCTGGAAGTCAAAAAGAAGAGCAACTTTGGAATGACAGAGTTTTAGTTCCTTTTAGGAAATGCATACCTTAGATTCATACACATACTGGCATGTTATGTCTCTTTCATGAAATTAAATTAGGTGTTCCTAATATGAACAACTGTTTCTAACATCAGCAAACTAGCTCAGCAGATTCATCTATGGTTTTGTTTGTGGGTTGGTTGTTTTGTTTTTTTGGGTTTTGTTGATTTTTTTTTTTCCTTTGGGCCCTTGTTTGAACACAGCCAAAAGAGAAGTAGCTGGAAATATTGTCAATCTGGTAGGGCTCCAAGAACCTAATAATGCCTGAAATGCTCTGAGGAGTGTAATGATGGTAAACAGGAACAGGTATGTTGGCTTCTGTTCTCATTCACTTCAGTGAGAGCATTAGCCTTTCAACATAAAGCAGAGCACAGTTTTCGAAGAATGATCCTCTTGCATAAAAAGGGATGGAGCCTTACTAAAAACATATTCCTCTGTGAACGCGCACACACAAATGCATTAGTTGGTATTTACAGCATTTAATTCTTGCAACCAGCTGCTAAGTCCCTGTTAAGGCTTTCCTTTATGCAGCTGGAGCTGGAACCTTTTCCCTTCTCCTAGCCTATTACTTTGCCTATTTAAGGGATGGCAGCCAAAGAGAAACAGCTTGTAATTTGCACCTGTCTGCTTTAAGCACTCCATGTTAGATTTTGCAGAGAGCAAACTCTTCATTGCTAATGAGAATGACACTTAGTAGGGTCAAACATATTTTTTAGCTGACTCCGCAGCAATTAAAAAATAAATAAACAAATACCCACTTCATTTAAGCCTAGTCTAGCTAGAGAACGACGCTAAAGGAGAAGCCTTGTCAAAAAAGAGCAACTCAGCGTGTAGGTGGAAGATGTAATCCCATGTGTCTAGTCTAATATAATACTGGGCACAGCCAGGCACAATCGAACCTGTACGCTGCCCATGCAGGAGCACGCAGGAGAGGTTTTGCCTCTTCCCCTGTAAAGTTCAGAATTGTTTCAGAAAACAACCACATGCAAAGAATGCTTCTGAATTTCTACGTACTGGGCTACCTTTTGAGAACTCACAGTATGCTTTGCTACCTACAGGGTCAGGCCTGTGAGAAAATAGTTCTTTGAGAATTAAAGAGAAATGCATGCTTCATTCCTGATCCAGAGGTGTGCAAGCATGGCCATGCAGAGATGTACTAGTTGGAGTGTAAAGCATTGAAGGTGTACATCAAGCAAATAACCCACGTATGATCTTCCAGGATTACATAAACTACCTTAACATGTTTGCTTCTTGCTAGAAAACAAGCATGGTGCTTTCAGTCAACTGTGGTATCACTTACAATTGCATTGAAAGAAACAAAAATTTCACTAGCATATTAGTTTAGTTACTAAGAAGTAGTCTTTTTCTTGCTTGCTCTTAAAATTAGAAAAGCCCTCAAAAAACTCAAGCTACAGAGATGATAACAAGAACATGAATGCTGGGGGAAAAAAACAGAAGGGAAATAAAGTAAAACATACAATTTATTAAAGAAAATATTGGTGCTGCATTTTGATTTCATAAATTGTCCCCATTTGTACTTCCTGTTTAAACAATAACTAACATGATGATGGGTTAAATGAAGTTGAGATTGTCACAAACATGGCCTCGCTAGTAATTAATGTAGTTTAATATGGTTGTTGGCACACATCTCACATGACAGATAATGTTCCAACATGTCACTGATAGGACCTTTCAGCACAGCTTTAGGAGATCTACCAGGCATTGCCGAGGTTGGTTAGGTCAAAGGGTTGAACCATGTGTAATTCAGAACAGAGGAGGTCCCACGGTCACTCCACAAAAACAATTACACTACTTATTTCACTCCATCCCTTGCCCGAAATTCACAAGCCTCACAGTTTCAGTGCAGTCAATCTCGCTCTGCCCTGGGGCTATGAGCCACATGAAAATATGTGGTGCTGTGTTTATAAATCTAATCAAAAATAGAAACAGTAGACAAGCACAATGAGGTCCTACTATGGATCATGGGAATTCTCTAAATTCTGAAGGCACTTTTGTTTAACTTCTGTGGGCCTTCTCCTACCATTACATTGTCTGGTACTCTCGTTAATCATCCCCTTGACTTGTCAATGATATAAAGGAGCCTATGCGTCTGCTGACTTCCCTCTCATCACACTACAAATAATATTATGAAATAGCAATGCTAGGAATAGCCCCTTTAATTTTTCTGTTTTGAAGCGTGGTTTTTTCTTCACTTACCTCTTTCTCCATGCCAGCCTGCCCTTTCTCAGACCTGCAGCAAAAACCACTTCCTCCTGCAACAAAGGAGAGGAAGCATATCTGAATTTTCAGTCTGCACACAGTCATTAATACCCTTAGGTTTAACACACAGACTTGCAGAGCATCAGCCTAGAAACCTGCCTGGATGGGGCAGGGGGGGTGTCCTGCTGCAGTCTCTGCTCCTGCCTTGCCAAAGAGCAAAGGGAGGATACAGTGCTGTTCCTTCACTTCATCTTTTCGAAAACAGCTTTGCACCAGATCACATATTAAAAAAACCACCTAACAAAGATAAACAAGAAAAACATAGTTTAAGCTCAGATTAAGTAACACCGACAAAGATGTGGGTTTGAGCGGAAGTTGCCCAGAAGTAGATAAGTCCTACCCCTAGACAGTAACTACTAAAATGATGTGGAGCCTGCTGTGGAATACGCCTAACCTGAAGATTACAATATCAAAGCTGCCAGACCAAGGAATGCTTCCGTGATCTGGCATTTAGGTGGGTCCCGCTTGTGTGTCTCTCTCTGTGCTGGGATTTCCATTAGAAGGATGGAAATTATCCTCTACCACCAGGTTATAACCATTAAGCAAACATACGATAACTTTACAAGTTATACATCACATCAGCAAAAATGCCTCGATTTTATACCAGCTACTTTTGTCCCTATGTGGGAAAAAAAAATTATTCATTCAAAACGGCTAGACGGGTTGCCCTCTCACTCACTGAAATCAATGGCAAAACTCAGTCTGACTCCACAGTCGCAGGACCTGAACTACAATGAATAGCAAGCTTCTTCCTTTGCCAGCTTTTCCCTCATGCATTTATACAAACACACATTCAGATTATTTTGCAGAGCCTGAAAACAAAACAAGACTTTGGACAATTAAAAATATCCCCTCAGAGTCCCTCAGAAGCTTTCATTGACCTTCTGGGTCAGAAGATGCCCCGTACAAAGTACATGTTTGGCCCCAGTTGAGGAAACTCTCTCTCCTGAGGGCACCAGGCAAAGAAGTGCTTAATTCTAAGTACGTGCTTAAGTTTCATTGAAGTCAATACAATGGACAGTGGACGGGGCCACAAATTCTCCTCCGAAAAAGGCTGCATTGTCACTCTGGTTGCTCAGTAATGAATGAAGGGCTGAGCTTTTGCCCAGGCTTTGCTGACGCTGAGAGTCTGCTGACCTTTGCCATCGCTCCTCGATGTCGGTGCCCTCCTTAGGGTGCCAAGGCCATTGCAGCAATGCTGGGACTGTGATTCCGGCAGCTCCCACTCCTCCTGCGGCCAGCCCTGCCCAAGCAGCCCTTGCAACGTAGTCCATGGCTGTCGTAGAAACCGTGCCCAAACTCCTCTGCTCCATAGCACTCTGCGATATTGAAAATAAACCCCTGCCGAGATCGCACAGGTAGGCTCAGGTCACGTATCTAATAATTGTATGTCTCAGAAAACCACCCCAGAGTCCCATTTCCAAAATCTGGGTTGGGCTTTCAGGCCAAGGTAGTATCTGCATCACTTTTCCAGCTGCTGCTCTCATTTGATTGCACATCCACTGAGTGCAACAGGTAGCTAGTTTTGAGCCCGATGGCATGGCACATTGCTTGTTATGACTCAAGTCGAAGCAGCAGAAAAGAAGAACCTGTATGAACCAAAGGCACTAAAAGCTTGGAATGGCTCCTTTCCTTTTCAAAGTAGAGTCGCAAGCAGCTGCCAACAGAAAGAACTGTTAAAGATGTAAGCTGTAAATTCAACATTTTCATCCATGGTCAACATCTGCTCATTGAAGAGGAGCCAAAGATGCATCAACAAGGACTTTCAAAGCCACAATAGCCTCAGGAGGCCAAACATTAATGGGAAGACTTGGAGTCTCATCTTAAAGAATGTGATAGACCAAATTAGGAAAGCAAAGGCAAAGATATATAAACAATGAGTTCAGAGGAGACATTAATAACATTAGCGCTTTAACAGTGATTTTCTTAGAGTTCAGGAACTTCCTTTTATTTGGGTTTTCTGGGGAATTTTTTTGCTTGTTTGTTTCAGTGGGGAACACTTTGGTGTTTTTTTTAAATGAAGGTGCTAGACATTGCTTTTCCTTTTCCCTTTTTCATACCAATCAGGCAACACAGTCAACACGGCATTAACTGATGTTGACTGTGGCCTTACTTAACCTCATCAGCCTATTTTGTTTAGCTGGATAACAGCTGAATCATTAGCATTCAACTGGCTTGCAGTCCTGAAAGAGTACAGCAAAAACAAAGTGCATGATTTTTCCGTCAATCAAAAAACAACATAAAACCTATTTCACATCCCACCAGGTATTTTATTTCATACCCAGCTGATGTAATGTTTTGCATGATTGAGGGGGGGAATTTAGTTATTTTTAAGTACCTTTGTAGTAAAGTGACAAAGCAAAACAACCACTTAGAAATTCTTAAACTGGATACTCTCACTTTTTTTTTTTTTTTCATTTTTCCACCAATTATGCTTTTTTCCCACAAGAGAAATAACCAAGGAAGCTACATTAAATATGCAAGATATCTGAATAGCTTTCTGTAATGAAAATAATCTAATTTTAGTCCAAAGATAGAGGAATTAAATACAGAGAGATGCAACAAACATAACTCTTATAGCATCACAACTGTGTTGATGGGGTCCTGTCACCAGTCACAGATCTGGAAGAGATCAAAACAACACACCTTTACACTGGAGCAGGCTGAGGTACATCCTTCTCCCACTAGTTGATATTTTATGCTGTATCAGCTACTGGAAATCACTTGGGCTGCATTAAGAGCTGGCATACAATAAGGATCTTGCAAAAGTAGCCATAAAATATACTGTACCTGCCATGCTGGCATGCAGAAGAAAAACCGTCCTGTTTGTAGCCGTGTACCCAGCATCTCCTTAAAGCACTCCCAAATGCATAGGCACGTTATCACGGGCCAAGGAGAGCAATGCTGGGCACAGCTAAGGTGCTGCTTATTGCTGGCGGAGAAATAGCAGGTTCATAGTAGGAGTAGCAAAGCAACAGTCTGTCATCACAGTGGCTGCCCTTCCTCCTTTCTCACCTTCACCTGGTACACAATTTATCACATGCTAAGAAGAAGTGCTGTGGGATCTCTGTGCTACAATATCGGCAGAAACCACTGAGTAAACGATAACCCTAACAACCTACTTGTAATTCCCTTTGGACTCTCTCATAAATACCAGCTAGCCAGCATTGGTCTTTAAGAAGTATTTCTTCAGGGGAAAATTGCACCTCTGGTGAAGAGAATCCATCAGTCACTTAAATTCAGCAGGACTGACCTTTGAAGCCACAAGCACTGTGCTTATCCTTCTTTAATCACCAATTTTGGGAACAGGTCCTTCAAAGTAATCTCAGATCCTTCCTATCCTTTCTCTTTTTTCTTTTTTTAATTTAAAAAGTAAGGCGTTTACTGCAAATATGCTTTTATAAAGACCATTAACACACTTAAAATTAAGCTCACATTCAATTACTTTGCTTGAGAGGTTGCAATGTTCCTAGCCTCCTTCTGTGTGCTTGAAAAAGTAGATAGATAAATGATTTTTCTATTGATAAACCTCAGTAGGTAGCTAAGCATCATTCAGCCACTCACTCACCTCCCCCCTCCAGTGGAACGGGGGAGAGAATCAGAAGAGTAAAAGTGCAAAAACTCTTGGGTTGAGATAAAGACAGTTTAATAATTTTTTTTTAAAAGGAGGAAAAAAAACAACAAGGGGAGGGGAGGGGAGAATGACACCAAGAAAAACAGGTGATGCAAAAGAAAAATTGCTCACCAATAACCAACTGATGCCCAGCCAGTCCCCAAGCAACAGCAGCCCCAGTCAACCTTCACCCACACCCCTCACCCCCAGTTTTATCACTGAGCATGATGTTATATGGTCTGGGATACCCCCTGGGTCAGTTTGGGTCAGCTGTCCCGGCTGTGTCCCCTCCCAACTTCTTGTGCCCCCCCAACCTGCTCACTGGTGGGGTGAGAAGCAGCAAAGGCCTTGGCTCTGTGTAAGCACTGCTCAGCAATAACAAAAACATCCCTGTGTTATCAACACTTCTATCACAACTTGAAAACACAGCCCCATACAAGTTACTATGAAGAAAATTAATTCTATCTCAGCCAAAACCAGTACACTACATCATGCCAGCAATTCCTGTGGAAGTGGCAAATACCAAATTTTAGTTTCTCTGCCACCATTCCAATATTCCCATTTCCCACCAAATGGAAAGTGCCATACACAAACAGTCATCACCCTGCTTCAGAGCCTGGTTTATGGACAATCACCTCCTGATGAAGTCCCAGGGCCCGTGTTTGAGAGTGCTGAAATTTGTAGTGGCCATCACCTGACAGTACTGGGGGAAGAGCAAAGCCAGCCCCAGCCTGGACAAAAGGCTTTCCTGACTGGGATGACAAGCTCCCAGTTTTGCTATCCAGGCTTTTCTTTGATACAGTTGCCCACCACAGGGCTTAGAAACCACTCAGATCAAGATGGTAGCAAGCAGCAGGAGTGGGGGACTGAGCACAGTAAGGAAATCACGTTCTTTATGGTCAGTCAAGCCTAAATTTCTTTTTCCTCCAGTTTTTCATTTGTAAAACAGTCACAATAATACTCTGCATTACCTCCATGACTCTACCAGCTATGGTGGATTTCTGTTGACCCTTCTGGATGCAACACCATAGCACCAGGCACCTCAGCACTGTCACTATCCTTACTTCTCCCTTCCCATCCACATCCCAGTCCTTATCCAGAAAAAAAGAAAAAAAAAAAAAAGGGGGGGGTCCTTTTCATTGCAAAAAGCTTTTGTGACTTGTAATTCTTGAATAACATAGCCTCCACATTACAGCAGCATGTGAGTTAGAAGTACTGAGCCGTACATGAAATCCTAAAAAATATATATACTTTAGAGATAAAAACAGTCAATGATTTTTCTTGTGCAAAAACAATATTGTAAAATCTCAGGCAACACCATGTGCAAAAGTAAATA